GTCCCTCCCTCCATTGAGCCGTTTCGCTCGGCCGAGGAGGTTCCGTCGTCAGCTGAACGTTAGGGGCGCTCTGCAGGGGTGGGGTGCCAGTCAACCATGGATGAGGATGAGTGTTTGGATTGAAATGAGAAATAAATGGTTAAAAAGAGCGATTGGGGTTGATTTAACTCCGCTGAGCAGGTAGCTGGTGCGGTTTGGATGTTTCTCTTAGAATTTGCTTGTAAAATATCTCCGTTAGAATGTGCATATAAAGTCATTGAAGATTAAATATCACTTATATGCGTCTCTCCCTTTGTGAAGTTCATTCTTCTTTCTTGCCTTTTCTACATTCGTAATGAATCTGTTGAGAATGCGTGCGTGAATGTGTGTGTGTGCGCGCGCGTGCGTGTGCGTGCGTAGGCGTGTGCGTATGCATGTCCGTGAGTGGGTTGTAGGCGTGTGCGTATGCATGTGCGTGAGTGGATGTAGGCGTGTGCGTATGCATGTGTGTGAGTGGATGTAGGCGTGTGCGTATGCATGTGCGTGAGTGGATGTAGGCGTGTGCGTATGCATGTGCGTGAGTGGGTGTAGGCGTGTGCGTATGCATGTGCGTGAGTGGGTGTAGGCGTGTGCGTATGCATGTGTGTGAGTGAGTGAATGCTTTTGCTTCTGCGAAGGAAGTGACGCAGCCTAATGACAAGCGGCGTTTATGTTGCCTCGAATGCTGTTTGCGGTTCCGAAATTGCCTTTTGCTTTGCAGTTATTAAATAATAAATGTCTTGTTATGAATACAAATTTCGATGCATTGGCGGTATTATGATAATTCGTTCTCCTGAAATATATCACATTAAATGTAATAGCGACAATAATGACATATATCATAATGTAATGATGCCAGTCGGAGCAGTTCAATCTATGGTGTGAACAAAGGAACGTGACGTCGGGTCGGAGCTCAGGCATGCTCGAGTCTCATCTTCACCCGTTCGAGGAGCATCTCTGCGTGGCATCTTTTCCCATCCCCTGCCAGCCCTTCACACTGCCAGGTCTTCCTTGCTTGCTGCTGCTAGTGGCATGTCACTTTCGGTTCAATCCTATCAATCACTTATTTCTTCTCTTTCTTCTCTCTCTCTTTCTTCTCTCTCTCTTTTTCTTCTCTCTCTCTTTCTTCTCTCTCTCTTTCTTCTCTCTTCTCTCTTCTTCTCTCTCTCTTTCTTCTCTCTCTCTTTTTAGATCTCCATAATCACGCCACTCTTTCACCCATCCATGAATAACGTTAGTTTTACTGCCGTAGTTAATTGCGATAAGCTTTTTTAAGGTACAGTTAACCCGTCTGGACTTATTAATAATTAATTTCTCCTAAAAACATAACCGATTGTGATTCTCGAGTTACCAGCGAGTTCATTTTTTTCCCCACGATAAGCTACATGTAGGACGTTACTCATGTGGCGTCGGAGGAAAAGTAATTTATTTCCGGTTTCGATTTCTAGACATTTATTCTTCATTTTTATTCTCGTTTTCCTTTTTTTTGCGGTTCCCTAGCATGCTTCAGTAGGAGAAAGATGATATACGCGCCGCTTTCTTCGTGATGTAGTTCCAATTGGACTGATTTGTGTGAGGGTAAAAATATCGTTTACATTTTTGTTTCGTGTGTAACGGAGCTGATGGTCTCTCTCTCCCTCTCCCCCTCCCTCTCCCTCTCTCTCTCCCTCCCTCTCTCTGTCTCTCCGTCTGTGTGTGTGTGTATGTCCATCTGCCTATCTATCCTTTACAGAATAATTTATTGGGCGGGAAATGTTAAATACACCAATTTCTTCCTGATTTAGCAAAAACGCCTTTTCTTTTATGTAGGCCCAGGCAGATTTGATTAAAGATGTTAATTTTCCTCTGCGTATTGTCCCGCAGCCAAATGTTATCAGCATTATCAGTATTTATCTGTACATGACAGGGAAATGTTCAAATCTTTACGATAACTTTTATTTTCTCTGGGCAGTACAAAGGCTAAATATTGGCAAACGTACACGAGTCCTTGTCTGCATTATTAGGGCTAAAATCAGGCCCATTTCCTCAGCTGTTTCGCGTTGACTCCTTTGATAAAAGGAACGCGTTTGCTCTACGGTCTCCCGCTAAGTAACACAAAACGCGGTTAACCGATGTAGTTCTTCCTCGCTTCTGTTCGCTCCCTCTCTCTCTCTCTTCTCTCTCTCTCTTTCTTCTCTCTCTCTTTCTTCTCTCTCTCTTTCTTCTCTCTCTCTTTCTTCTCTCTCTCTTTCTTCTCTCTCTCTTTCTTCTCTCTCTCTTTCTTCTCTCTCTCTTTCTTCTCTCTCTCTTTCTTCTCTCTCTCTCTCTCTCTCTCTCTCTCTCTCTCTCTCTCTCTCTCTCTCTCTCTCTCTCTCTCTCTCTCTCTCTCTCTCTCTCTCTCTCTCTTTCTTCTCTCTCTCCCTCTCTCTCTCTCATCTCCCTTGAAAGCCATCTCACATCTGTCGCCTTTTCCCAGATCTCCATAATCACGCCACTCTTTCACCCATCCATGAATAACGTTAGTTTTACTGCCGTAGTTAATTGCGATAAGCTTTTTTAAGGTACAGTTAACCCGTCTGGACTTATTAATAATTAATTTCTCCTAAAAACATAACCGATTGTGATTCTCGAGTTACCAGCGAGTTCATTTTTTTCCCCACGATAAGCTACATGTAGGACGTTACTCATGTGGCGTCGGAGGAAAAGTAATTTATTTCCGGTTTCGATTTCTAGACATTTATTCTTCATTTTTATTCTCGTTTTCCTTTTTTTTTGCGGTTCCCTAGCATGCTTCAGTAGGAGAAAGATGATATACGCGCCGCTTTCTTCGTGATGTAGTTCCAATTGGACTGATTTGTGTGAGGGTAAAAATATCGTTTACATTTTTGCTTCGTGTGTAACGGAGCTGATGGTCTCTCTCTCCCTCTCCCCTTCTCTCCCCCTCTCTCTCCCTCTCCCTCCCTCCCTCTCTCCCTCCCTCTCTCCCTCCTTCTCTCTGTCTCTCCCTCTGTGTGTGTGTGTATGTCCATCTGCCTATCTATCCTTTACAGAATAATTTATTGGGCGGGAAATGTTAAATACACCAATTTCTTCCTGATTTAGCAAAAACGCCTTTTCTTTTATGTAGGCCCAGGCAGATTTGATTAAAGATGTTAATTTTCCTCTGCGTATTGTCCCGCAGCCAAATGTTATCAGCATTATCAGTATTTATCTGTACATGACAGGGAAATGTTCAAATCTTTACGATAACTTTTATTTTCTCTGGGCAGTACAAAGGCTAAATATTGGCAAACGTACACGAGTCCTTGTCTGCATTATTAGGGCTAAAATCAGGCCCATTTCCTCAGCTGTTTCGCGTTGACTCCTTTGATAAAAGGAACGCGTTTGCTCTACGGTCTCCCGCTAAGTAACACAAAACGCGGTTAACCGATGTAGTTCTTCCTCGCTTCTGTTCGCTCCCTTTCAAGCCTGTCAGCTGTTGCAGGTCGAATTTTTGGTTGTGGTTATGGCTGTGGTTGTGGTCTACTGGCGGCGAGAAACCGCTCCCAAGCAGATGCAAGAGCCTGAAAAAGTGTGTAAGAATCTAAAAAGTGTGTTGGAGGAGCTATCCATTTCTCTCCCTTTCTGGTTTCGAGTAATCTATTTGCTGTGTCGTACCCTCGAGTAAAGATGTCACCTGTTCAGTTCTTCGTTAGCTTTATGGCACGAAGTCAACGCCCCATTTGCTCTGTACCCGAGCATCCATTAAGTTGCACGCTCAAGAGGCGAAGACGTTATCCGCGAGCTACGCGCATTGCATAAACTTTTTTTCGGAACGTCGTAAAGAAAACGGACGATTTTTGTCTCGTGCCTTTTGCGACTTCGCAGAAGTTAAGATAGTTTTGTTACGTTCCTGGTATTGTGAACAGGTGTTCAAATTTGCATGGCACCGACATCACTCCATTTATCCAGTCTGTATCCAACTTAATCTGCTAACATGTTCTGACGTGTAGCTAGCTCCATTACTCGACTAAATTGCTTCTTAAGTTGCCACTAATGACACCCTCTCCCCCCACAGGTGACTACCGCGCAGAACTACCTGTCGGACTTCGCCCTGGAGCGGCCGGCGAACCTCCCGTCCATCAGACAGCTGGAGGTGATGTGCGGCAAGGACCACCTCACCGTCCAGCTCTCCTTCAGCGCGCCCTTCCAGGTACGCGCGGGTCACGCCTTGCTCTCGGGCTCTCTTGGTCGAGGAGGAGGATAAAGCTGAGTAAAAAACAAAGAATAAAAAGATGTAAAAAAAACGATAGTTATTCAAATGATAATGATGGAAAGTCCATGGTAATACTAACGCTTGATAGATGATAACGACACTTATAACAGTAATTTAGTTGCCAATGTTTTCTTGCCTTTCTTAAATCCAAACTACCAGTCAAAATATATATCACAACCCGGGAACCAAAATGCCTTGCCCAAAAGTGCCCTCAGCTGCCCCTGACCGCCCCTTCCCCCGCAGGGCCTGGTGTTCTCCAAGGGCCAGTACGGGAACGGCGACTGCATGTACGTGGGGCCGCGCGACGGGGGCGTCAACTACGAGTTCCAGATCTACTACGACGGCTGCGGCACCAAGCCCGACATGGGGGGCAAGTTCTACGAGAATACCATCATCGTGCAGTACGATTCCGACTTGATCGAGGCGAGTGGCTGCACTGATTGTTTTTCATTGTAGTTTTTTTTTTCCTTTTTTCTTTTTTTTTCTTTTTTTTTGTGGTTTTGTTGTGTGTTGCTTTTATTTTTTTTCAGTTATTGTTTTTTTTTTGCTTAATTTTTGTGGTTTTGTGAGGCGAGGAATGATATTTAATTTTAAAAAATTTCTTTGGTTTATTTTTTGTGGTTTTGTTTAGTTTTTTTTTCGTATCTTTATGTATTTGGAAGAGCTTTCTGGTGGGAAATATATAGTGTAAAGTGGTTTAGATTAATAAAATTTTAGTCAAGGAAAAGCGTGTGCAACTTAATTCAAAGTTGACAGGACAAGGAATATTACACGAGTATGTTAAGTTTCTGGAATTAAACTCGTGCTTTTATCATTATTGAACTATACCACCTATCTTAAATAATTAAAAGTATATTTAAATTGATGTTTGGTGGAGTTACTTTATCGTACTTATTTACACGCTTATTTCCACACTTATTTTATTTGTCAATGTTTTTAGTTGATCAATTGCGGAAGTACTTAGTCACATGGACAAAGATTTCCACGCCCATCTCATTTATAAGTGGGTGTGGAAATGTGTTTGTATGTGAATAAGTAAAGTTAAGTAATTCCACCAATGATCAATTAAAAAAACAACAACTATACTTATATTTATTAGTAAAGTATTTTGCTAGTTGAACATTGGTGGAATTACTTAACATTACTTATATATATCAGTATTTTTCCAATTGGTGTAACTCCTTTGCCGCACTTTACTCACGCGCGCACTTTACTCACGCGCGCACTTTTCCACAGGTTTGGGACGAGGCGAAGCGACTGCGGTGCGAGTGGTACAACGACTACGAGAAGACCGCCAGCAAACCGCCCATGGTCATCGCCGATCTGGAAGTCGTCGAACTCAACTTCAGAGGTTTGATGTCTTTTCCTTTTGGCTTCATCTTTAGAGGAAATAGATATGGAATGCCCAGGGCGATTTCTTAAGTATGAATAAGTATGGAAAATAGGTGTTCGAAGGGTATTCTTCTGTAGGAAAAGAATACACGTAGAAAAAAAAAACTCAATGCCCAAGCTTGAAGTAATATGTTGTACAGAAGCCCAGGGTATTTTCTTACATGTGAATAAATTATCTCAAAATTCAACTAATATTGACGAGTGTAAAAAAATACAAAGCATACATGAGCTTTCTAATACTGTCAATCCGAAATACATGCATGTATATAGAGACATGTGTATATAGAAACGTACAGCTATTCAGACGGGACAGTAAGACCTCGCTGTGTCGCAGGTGACAACGTGGACTGCTGGATGGAGATTCAGGACGGCAAGGGACCCTGGGCGTCGCCTGTGACCGGCATCGTTCCCCTGGGCTCCACGCTCACTATGGTCGTCGCCATCAATGACCAGGCTGGTAAGGACGGGGAGGGGTGGAGGATGAGAGAATGAGGGATGGTGTGCGCGTGTGTACGCGCACGCGCGCATGCATATACGTGTATAAATGTGTGTTTGTGTATGAGTGCACGCGTGTATAGCATATTGTATTAGGTTTTGTTTTCAGAGCTGGTTTCAGATAATTCATGTAAATTAACAGTTGCCGAGTTTATGTATATATGATTGCAAAAAGTTATTTCTTAAGAAATGAGTTTAGCAGCACGTTTTTGGCCTCATTAATTTGCATCGTTCACTGGCGTTGACGCAAATGCGAATCGTTTCAGGGGAGTTCGACATGCGCGTGAAGTCGTGCGAGGCCTCCGACGGCTCCAACTCGCCCATCTACCTGAGCGACGAGCACGGCTGCGTCCTCCGCCCCAAGATGATCTCCAAGTTCATGAAGCTCCGGAACAACGACGGCCGCGCCACCGTGCTCACCTACGCCCACTTCCACGCCTTCAAGTTCCCGGACTCGATGGCCGTGCACATCCGCTGCAAGGTGGAGATCTGTCGCTTCGGCTGCCCCGACCACTGCCAGAAGCCGACCGCAGGCAATCCCATCGGCGACTACAGCCAACAGCAACCGCAATTCCAGCAACAGCAATTCCAGCAGCAGCCGCAGTTCCAGCAGCAGCCTCTAGTTCAGCAGCCGCCCCTCGACGCCTACGCGGCTCCTGCCGAGACAGTGCCACAGTACGAGGCTCCGCCAAATAATGTTGGGCCCTCGAACTTTGGCGAGAAGAGCGAGAGACTGCCGTTCTTCATTGCGAACCAAGAATCTGCGCCCAACCCCAGAAAGGCGCGTCCCGGCCAGAATAACCCCATGATCAACAAGAACAGCCCGTACTACAAGGGCCCCCTGATCATCCCGGACGAGGAGTCGGCGCAGGAGTACCTTAACGGCTCGCCCCTCAATGGCAGCGAAACCATCGAGCTGCCGAACGCCGGGGACTTCCCATGGGGCCCGAGGAACCTCCGCCGCCGTCGTCGCGACCTCGTTCTCGATCGCCACCAACGCTCCCCCGATATCGGCGTCACTACCGATTACCAGGTGATCTCCGAGGCCGACCTGGAGTTCACACCCGCCAGGGAAGAAGGCGTCACTGTCTTCAAGGGGCACCGTGAAGATGTGGTGTACGGTGTGTGCTTACCGGCGCCCGGTTTCTCCGCTCTGTTTGTGCTGCTAGCAATGTGCACAGTGATTTCGGTGCTGGTGGCTGGCTTCATGTGCCACCACAGGCAGATGCAGAAGGACACCAGCGAGTCTCCTGCCGCCCCCCACACCCACCAGCAGGCTGCTGCCGTCTTCAGCATGGCGCAGTTCCTACGAGGTCACTTACCTGGCTATGCACAATGATCAAGAACGCACGTGTGGAGATAGAATCTTCATGAAATCCGTTAGAGTGCAGAGACATTATGGTGCCACAGACCTATCACTTATAGTAGTGCGTCGCAAAGAGACAGTAAACTTTGCGGCACCTCTGGCAGCACAAGGGAAATGTATGTGAAGTTTTAATCATCCTTGAATTGATCTTGATATTAATGTAAAGCTAAAGTTAGTGTACCTATTAGTTCTGGGACTGTACTATGCTTTCCTCCATATTATCCTGATAGTGCATTATCTATACCACAAAAATGTAAGTATTTGGATGGCGCATACATGCACCTTATTGCTTTGTGATTGTCATGATTCTGTAAATAGCTTCTATTTAACATTACAAGCTATCTGGACTGGATGGGGCTTCCTTAAAGAAAATGGTACGATCTTCAATTCGTAAGTTCAGTTACTTGCCAAATTGTTTTCCAAAATGGAGATCCCATCCAGTTCTGTTAATTGCTGGACAGAAAAGCCGTGCGCACTGTTGTTGCACTTTGGTCCAGGTTGGCTGAGGCGGCCAGGCTTTCCTCCGCCGCCTCTGCGTCCCCCGGCTCGGCGTGGTCCAGTTGGCAAGGCCGTGCTGGCGCAGCCCTCTGGGAGTGGCCCTGCCCTGCCTTACCATCGTGGTCCCGCCGGTGCGGGCGAGGGTTCAGGAAAGGTTCTTTGGGAACTTGCTCACGTGGTTTTCCTTGTAGGTATCTACAACTGTTCGCACGGCCTACCCCGCGTGGGTCATCCTGCGAACACCCACCTTCCTCTTTGTGTCCACCTCCGCTTGTATCCTGTACGAGGCTAATTGGAGTTAAATTTATGCTAAGTTCACATTTCTGGTGGGACGTGTAGATACGACCTGTTGCGTATTTGATATGCAAGATGGTTTTAACTTATTTATTTATTTATTTATTTAAACACATGAACTGTTTTCTCAAAACAATTCATGGTAAATTAATACCGATAAATTAAGTCGTAAATATTTATCAATATTATAGTGTAAATGAGTATATTTGGTTGTAATTACAAGGCGATTGTTACGTTTAATCTTTCATGCATAGATTAGGCAGTACATATTAAAACAGGAGAAACTACAAGAAAAACTAATTCACTTTTCATCCTTATCAATCATTCAGATGTACAGATGTAAAGCACTTCGGGAATATTTCCCCCTTTCTCTTTGTAGACAAAGATCTCTGTTCTTGTTATGTTGTTAGCTGTGTGTGACTGAATCATGGTGGTTGTGTGGGATGGTCAGTGTGTTAAGTTTTAAGTTTATATTTCCTAAGACAATCATCCGATACTTTATGAAAGGTAGAGACGCATGCACAATTCCACAATCGGTATCTCCGTCTCTCTTTAACTTGCGCAGCTTAATGTAGTATTTTCTTCCTTCCTTCACGCGAATTTTGAGAATCGCTTGCAGCGCACAGCCTCTGGTTTTCCGGGAGCATTTGGGTGATCATCATCATCTCGTGGATATGCAGATCATATTCATTTAATTTATTACATTTCTAAAAATTATTGTTCTGCTTCAGTTCCAAACACAGGTGATAATGTGCATGCGTCTTCCAGAAAGGCGAGAAATGTCAGTTTCAAATTAAACTACAAAAACAATTCACACAAATTTCACGATTATCTGCTGTAGTCACCTTGGTAGTCTTTTTGCCGCGCAATTTCTTTAAATTCTCAAAGGAAAACCGTTATGAATAGACGTACACTGTGGTACTTGTGCCATCGACAACTATCAAATGTTATTGAAAGAACGGTCGATAAACCCCGTTTGCTGGGAACTTATCGAAAATTGTAGGCAGTGGTTCTCAACCCGTGTCTCGCATTTTGCAAAAATTTCTTACTGTTCAAGTTGCAAAATACTCCAATCCAGGGGGTACAACTTTCCTCTGTATTCTTTTTGTGCAGCAGTTTGTACATTCTCGGATATACAGCTGTATGTAATAATGAATTACTAGCACTAAATCGAGTTTAAACTATTTGGCGAGTTATCGATTTCAGGAAATTATTTTTGTTGCGCGTCACAGGTTGAGAACCACCACTGTAAGAAAACACTTATTGAGAATTACTCTTGGACCGGACAACCGAATTTAAAATATCTTTTGGTTTTCAGTCTATGGTGAGGCAAACGACTGCCAAAGCTCTCCTTGTTCAAAGTGGCATTGGTTTATGTTTAGCTGATGTTTTTGTCTCGGCGTCAGACATGGGACATTATTGTTATTTGTTACATTTTATTATTAAAACTAATAAAATTGTTATACTATTTTTTTCCCCATTCCCTTTTCTATGACTCTTACAGTGAAGGAAAAAGACTTTTCTGCCATTATGCATAGTTTACTATTTATATTCCCTTATAATATGATACTTGAACAGCGAAAATACATGATTAACCTTTTCATTATGGTTAATAGTCACAAAGCAAAATAAATGTGCCAGACTTCAAAGATCGTGTAGCACAATAGAAAAGTGTAGAAGTGAAGAGGGTATTTATTTTCTCGAAAAAAATTGCCGCATTAACAAGGTCATTACCCAGGGGCTTCACCTCCTAAGGATTTTGAATGCACTGTTAAAGTAGTTTCTTTATTGGGTTCATAAGGTGATGTTTTAATAGTAAAGATAAGAAAAAGTGCTAGATATCAATGTATGGAGGTAAAAAAGGTAAAAATGAGTCAACTAGTATAAGTGGACTAATGGGGTTGAAGAGAAGGAACAGGAAAGGGGGAGAGGAAAAGACTATGCAATATTAGTTGAGGCAAGGGCTGAGGTCCTAGGGAGCGACGATCCCCTACATTAGGCCTCAGTCTCCGTCTCCTAGGCCCCCCCCCCCCCCCGCGACAACAACGAACAAGGGATTGAGGGAAGGGAGTGAAAGAGTGAAGACGGTGGGGTTGGTGAATAAATGTACTAAACGGTAAAAGCCGTATAGAAGGTCAGAATCGTATATCAGTGGTGAACCTAGAGAGGGTAAGGAAATGGGTTAAGGTAGGGATTAACAAAAGGGGAAAGGGGTTATTTAGGGCCAAATAGATCAAAGAACAGTCTCGGGAGAAATGTCAGGAGGCAATGTATGTTGGGGAGAAAAATGGTCCACCCCTCAGGGCCCCTTTGATGGGTAAGGGCTAGACAACATGGGAATATCGTGCCCAAGGCTTCCCTAGGCCTTTCATCCTTTCAATATGGCTCATGCCTTAGTAAGTGGATAGTATAATGGGTTTGGATAAAGAAAAAACGGAAGTGATAAGAGTGCAAAATTAGCCGAGTCGAGGGCTGAGGCTGAGGCCAAAGGTAGGGGTGATCCCCTGCATTGGGCTTCTGTCTCCATTTAAACCCCATAACAACAACGGACATAGGAAAGGAGAGCAACTTTTTCATAGTATATCGGAATTACGGAACTAATAACAGCAACATTTAATTTCTAAGCATGAATAGCAACTAATTAATTCTGCATTTTCAAACTCATAATTCCTCTCATTATCCATGATAATAATTGCTGTAGTAGTAAACACATTTCTTATGATATACCATTATATTTCTTATGGATTATGGATTTAATCCATAATATGAAATATGAATTAATGAATTCTCATTTATTCTCTTCTCTTCAAACTGGACATACTATAAGTGAATTCCACCTTCTGTGACTCCAAACATCAATCTCATTTTAATGATTCTTGGATTTTACCAAGTGTATAATTCTTGTAAATTGCATAAGCAAAATTGCTTTGTATGTACTCGAGGGCGTGCTTCACAAAATCAGATCATTCTTCTCGTCAAGATCCAGCTACATTACTTACAAGTATATTCCATTCACACAGATACAAAATTTGCCCATCAGGTGTTAACGCTAAAGGTCTATAAAAACTACAGAATAGTTTAGAAGATATATATTAGCCTATAACATTAAACAATTATAACAAGTGCATCGAAATCAATTGCTCTATTCCAATGCAATGCCTCACACCGGGGGCTGCAAGGGCTGGAAGGGGGAGAGGTCCCACTCTACCTTCTTCTCTACCGGTGGCTTCCTAGAGAAAAACAGAATGGAAGGACATTCCTGATATAGAAGTCAAAACAAACAAGCCATCAACAAATCAGCAAATCATTTCTAACTTATAGGTTTTGAGAACTAATTAATAGTGTTGCACAACTTGAGGGACACTTTAGGCCATAAATTATACACATCAGGAGTGACTTACAGTGCGTGCTGTGGCGTGGCAAGATCCACCTGATGGGGAGCGATGTTGATGGAGGTGGAGTCGGCTGTGCTCACTATGGCCGAGTCCGCACTCGTGTCCGGCTGGGTAGGGAAGAAGAAATGTATGTAGGTTAAGGAAGAATAATTTTATAAATCATTTGAGGTTATAGTCTCATTGGCGAACACAGTTTCTCCGTGTTCAAAAATTCTGAAATATCACCTGACATTCTGAATTTCAGTGAAAGAGTACATGCAATATCAAGAGAAGATGCTACTGTAAGAGGCGGCTTACCACATGCTCATCAGTTTTAAAGAAAGGGTTTTCGAAGTTGTGAGAACCTCGCAAGACAGGCGGGGTCGAGGGGATGGTGTTGGTGCTGGACGTCGCGTTTCCGTTGGGCACAGCGGTGGGGGAAATGATGCCAAAACCTGGGTTGGCGAAGCGTAGGGTCTGATTGGCTTTGAAGCATCTCTTGCGAAGTTGCCTGGAATTTAGACTTTTTTATTCATATGCCTATTTTAGAATCTTTACTAATTAAGTATTTTAATTAAATTATTACATCTCACTTGAAAGAAGAAGGAATCTTACAAAGGGCACCTCATACATACCCTCCTTTTCCCTTCCAAAAGGGGAAAGGTCGCTTTCGATACCAATAAAGTCCAAAGATGAGGGCACCGAAGATGATGAGGAAGAGGCACACGCCTAAGGTTGCGCTGCTGCTGCTGTCGCCGTTGTCTGTTGTGGGCGTCTTAGCCACCTCGCACAGGGACCCCTCACGGTCTTCAGGACACCTAGCATGGAA